TTTCATATATATATACACCGGCGAATGGTCAGAGTCAATATCAACACCTCTGATCAATACCAGATAATGACCCCAAGTCCATCATGATTCAAGGCATCTTTTACGCCAGATTCTTCCCCCAAGAGGGTAAATAGTCACAGACCAATGAGCTCATATATCTCTCCTAATACTATTTAGGTCCCAAGATCGTCGCACAGTCTCCCGCAGGCTGCATAACCCCCGTCGAAGGCTCAACCAAATCCCCTCTCATCGACTTCGACGTACTCCATGAATACATCATCCCTAGACAAGCCTTCTGCAATCGCTATCTCACCATCAACACGCCAGATGGGAAGTACACTGTCCTAGGATACCCAGTTGTTATTCCACACACCAAGTATCTTCGAAATGAGTTCATCTTCAACTTCGGCCTCGTGCTCGACGCTGATGTTGATCATGTTCCTTATGAACGCGTCGTTCGTGGTCTAGCCTCTACCTTTTCTGAGATGGAGAAACAGAACGAGTATCTGAGCCAAAATGCAGAGACTAAAGGATCCGGGAGGAGACCGATTGATAGTTTGCTCGAAATTGTCAAAGAGGATTTGGACAATTATGGAGAGTGCATGATTCCCGTTGGTAAGCTAACTTTGTCGCTGGATCGGACTTGATACTAATGAATATACAGACGAAGCCAATACTATCAACATGAAGCTCTTCCCTCATCACATGGATCCTCCTAGGGTTCGAGGCTGGCATGTCCCTGTTCCAAAGGCCAAATTCTCTGACATTATGGATCCGACCTGGGATCTCACCCTCCAGAAAGTCATCTCTCACATCGACGGTGTCTCTGATATTCGACGTATCGCCCACGCGGCTTCGGTCTCTCTTGAGCTAGCAAAGACCGCGCTCCGCCATCTCCTCTACTACGACACCATTCTACTTCTTGACATGTTCTTTTTCACTGCATGCTACGCTCCACGCCCTGGGATCCATGACTTTATCCGAAATGTTGATGGGATGGTTGATGAGTGTGCTGCATATGTATCTCACGGACGCGGCCTTGTGAGCAACTATCATCTTATCAAACTCATGTCCACCTTTGCTCCTGGAAAATCCGTCATGGAATGGCTCAAGGGGCATCAAGACACAGGTTTCGAAGTCCTTCGTTTTGTTGACGTTCGCAGATTCGTTCAGTTTGGCGTCATAAAGGGTTGCATATACCGCGTTCACAAATTCGTCGTCTCTAAGCAATATCTTGCCGCCTTAGCCTCTGGCCAAAGCCGCCCTGTCCCAGGAGGAGATCCACTGCAGAAGTACACAGATGGCTGTCATCACTTTGACCAAATCATCACAGAGCAGAACATGACGGATAGTGAAATTATGGAGAAACTCAAGAAGTTGCCAGTTCCAAAGGGGGACTTGGCAGTCTTTTATAGATAGATCCAGTTTCAAACCTCTATACCCATCATTTTTAACATTTTACATCATATCTATGGTATCATCCAGATTACAATATACTACAGTGCTATGTTACACGGCAAACACAAGCCGATTCTGCACAGGCAGCCCCTCATTTGCCTCTCCTGTCCCATGTTAGTTGAGCTCGCCTCTCACGCACATCGTGCTTATTGGGCAGCTCAATATTCGAGTTATTGGCAACGCTCAATTGGTTTTTCTTCCTCGAGGCAATTTGAGTAAGCTCCCTGTCTGATAATGAGCTACCCTTCGCCTCTACCTCTTTCTTCAGCTCGTCCTTCATTCTGCGCAAGAGACCAGTACCTGGCTGGCCAGGGTAGATCTGGCCGCTCTTCTTCCACTCTTCATCGCTGATGAGCTCGACGATTCGGACGTTGTGCTTGCCCTTGCGCATGATGAGCATGCGGTCGTCGATGAGGAACTTGGAAGTCTCCTCGGGGAACCAAGCCTTCATGGGAGTCCAGGACAGATTGCCAGGGACGAGGCCCCTCTTCTGGCCAGGCTGAGCAGCGATATAGGCGCCTTGTGCTGAAAGCAGACGTTGACCTTCACTGCTGCTGGATGCGAGACCGACAGCGTGGAGAATCTTTGCCGGTGAGGATTTCATGATGGAGCGAGGGAGTTGAATATCGCTTCTTGGGGCATTGTTGACAGTGACGATACCAGTGTCTGGAGTGGGCTCGCTGACAATACCCTTGGGTAGCTTGGTGCCGAATCGAAACTCGTGTTGCTTGGCCTCCTGAACAGCCCTCTGTGCTCCGTGAATAAGTGAAAGAACCTCGAAAGCCAGGGTGTGCTGGGCTTTTCGCTCCTGGGGTGCCGCTCGGTGCTCCTCCATTAGCTTGGAGATCTGCTCCAGAGGTATAAATGTGAACATCTTGAGCAAATTCTCAACCTCCTCGTCAGACCTTCTCACAAAGTAGCCGTACAAGTCGAATGCTGATGTTTTGAACTCATCCAGCCATATAGCATTGCCGGCACTTTTACCAAACTTGTTGCCGGCAGAATCTGTTAATAACGGAACGGTGAAACCAAATGGTTCATGATCCCAGGTTGAAGGTTTCTTCAAGTGAGGCGCCTCTTCGGTCTCGCGAATGGTTTTGAGGGCATCGATTCCCGCAGTGATGTTGCCATACTGATCTGAGCCTCCAATCTGCATCTGAATGCCAAGTTTGTTGTACATGTGCCAGAAATCCCATCCTTGAAGAAGAGGATACATAAATTCGCCGAGAGACATGCCGTCTCCTTCAGTCATCTTTCGCTTAACACTACAAGTCTTTGTTAGCACTCTGAATGGCAGTTTCTGGGTTTGAGGGCAACTCACGTATCCCTAGCCAGCATAGGTCCGATTCTCGTGTGCCTGGCTATCCTTTTGGCAAAATCGTAAAGAGTAAGGTTCCCTAGCCACATGTTGTTGTTCAACAGACGATGTGTGGCAGCCCAGTCCTCCTCATATCCGTACTTCTGTTTTAATAGGTGGACATTTTTCCATAACTTCGTCAATTGGACATGGATCTTTGTGATGTTCTTGGAAATATCTGAATTGGAAAGAATCGTTCGGCTCTCGAGTCGGTCGGTAGGATCACCGATACGGGCAGTCGAGCCGCCGATCAAGGTGACAGCAGGATAACCGTGGAACCACATCCAGAACATGGGCATCAGCGGTAGCAAGTGACCGACGTGCATCGAGTCGGCGGTGGGATCGATACCGACGTAGGAGCCTATCCTCCTGACTCGCATGATTTCTTTGATCTTTTCAGGGGATCTATTGTATAAGTTAGATTCGAGTTGAGGATCGTGGATAGTGCCGTGTACCCTGCTATATCCTTGATATATCCTCTTTCTTGAAGGACATCCATTGTGTGCGGAATCTCGCCATTCTGAATCCTTTCTGCCCTCTCTTTCCATCTCTTCTCGCCTTCTGCAACTTTGTTGAGGTACGTCGTCGCGACGTTTCGAACTTGGAGGGAGCGTTGTGCATTAAGGCATCTCGAATATATGGTTGTTCGTGGGGGCGTAAGTTTCGAGATGATGGCATGAGTCGCCATTGTGGACGGATTGAGCAATTTCTCAGCTGAAATAGTTGGGACGACAAACAAAAAGAACGTCTCTAGGATCTAAACTTTTCTCCAACTCAAACAAATCTGGGCATCATGGTTCGAAGCTGTTAGCCCAAAAAAATCCAAGCGACGTCGGATAGAATCTCCAAATACTGACCAATCACAGGTGGCATTGACGAGACAGCGCTATTGGCTCCGTGACGGGCAGAGGGATCCACACCACAGGGAAACCTTCGGGACGCCTTGAACCAATCACGAAAGAGGTAATTCGAGATCCTCGGCAATGGTAGGACATCCAGTTCCGGGCCAGTTCGAATTGATTGAGGTCCAGTCGACATCATCAATCCAATTCTTCCTCTGAACCACTAACGCCCTTCGAAGCAGCCACCAATTGAGCGCCGCGACAACACCAGCAAGAATAGATCACTCAACGCTTCAAAATGGCCTCAATTGCGCGTTCCTCTCTGCTTAGGCAGACCGCTATGGCTTCTCGATTGGCCGCTGTCCCCGCGACCCGAAGCACTTTCATGCCTATGCCTAGCATCCGATCTCAGCTTAAGGGTGTCGCTGCTTTCCACAACACTGCTCGACGATCTGCTATTCTCCCTCCAGGACCTCGTGCGTACCAGTATCTCTGTTATAAGGGCCATATGCTAACGTATTAACAGAGCGCATCCAGGGTGGTGGTACGAATACATCCAAAAGCCGAATCGCAACTTGACCGGCTTCACATGATATGGATATCAATAACTAACACATACTCTAGTCAACGACCCTGCTCCCATCCCCGAACCCAACGCTGCCCACGGCTCTTACCACTGGACCTTCGAGCGTCTCCTCGCCGCCGGCCTCGTCCCCTTGACCGTCGCTCCCTTCGCCGCTGGATCTCTCAACCCTACTCTCGACGCCATCCTCTGCAGCGTTCTCCTCCTCCACTCCCACATGGGCTTCCAGCAGGTTGTCATCGACTATATTCCCTCAAGGACCTACCCCGGCCTCCGAAAGATCTTCAACTGGCTCCTCAACATTGCGACTGTCCTCGTTGGTGTTGGACTGTACGAGTTCGAGACCAACGACGTTGGTATCACCGAGGCTGTCCGACGAGTGTGGAAGGCATAAAGCGTTTGAGCGTTGATTGGCGTGTGTAAGGTATGAAGGATGATGTTGATAGTACTACTTGTCGCGCAGATTTGTGACTGCAGACACCTGTATAGAAAAATTTCCTTTGAGTTAACAAAGATTGCGTCAATTTCACATAAGACGGCTCGTTTACTTTTCTTCTGAATGTAAGGTTCAGATTTCTGGTCTCCAACGCGTTTTGGCTTGTGAAATTCATAGGCTTTGTCAACACTTTCGGAGCCTAGCAGGGTGAAGGCTAAGAAGCACCTGCGCAATATCAATCTTTATTGTTCAAGTTCGCTATTCTGTTTTGTACTAATTTCCGCAATGTCAAATCCTTGCCTCAGTCCAATCCAGCTGTCCGAGTTAGATAGTCAAAGAAGTAATCTCAGAACCTCCAGCACGATCCATCTCGGGGGTGGGAGGAGGCAAGTTCTCAGACTTGGTGCAAATCCAGCAGCTAGCATACATGTTGACACGGTCAATGCAGGCTCCATCGAGGCGAGCACCATGTCTCTTAGGTGAGAAACCATGAGCCTCAAACTCTTTGATGTACCATGGGGTCAAGGCCGAAGAACGGAGCAGCACACGACCACCCATAGCCAAAGCTCGGTTAAGCTTAGTGATCTGGGCGGCAGCGGCTCGAGATCCAGTGTCGAACCAGTCCATGCTGTCCATGACGACGGCAACAGTCAGAGTACCGGGGGTGATGCGTGCAATAACCTCCTCAAGCTCATCAGTGTGAATACGGAGACCATCAAGAGCATTGGGACGAGAGAGTTTGGCGTGGGCCCTAGGGCTGAGATAATCGGGGTGACACTTGGGAGAGAACTTGCCATCCATGCAAACATAGTAGTAAGGGTTATCAGCGGCTATGTGAGTCTCCTCAGCGACAGGGTCAAGAGTGTTGACCATGTAGTGCCAAATAGCATGAGAGCGAGTGTTCTTTGCGGCAGGCTTAGGGCCCTTCACGAGGTCGGACTCGGCGTGATCAGCCTCGATCATGGCCAGCTGGTTCTTAGGAACACCAAGAGCAGCCCAGAGGAAGCTCTCCTGAGAGACAACCAAGTTACAGACAAGCTTGGAAAGAAGAGCAGGGCGGATCTTTCGTCGCCAGATTTCTCGCTGCTCATTCAGAGTCTTGGCCTCAAGGAGCTGCTTCACAGCCTTCTGCAGACCAAAGATCCGGGCAATCCAACGGAAGACACGGATAGCGTGGCGAGAACCTCCGGTATCGTAAAGACCGTAACCACTGCTGTTCTGGAACACGTGGACGTTTTTGAGCCAATACTGGAATGCGCGGCCAGAAAGATGAGGAGAGAGTTTGGTGATGAGCAACTCACGGAAGTGAGGATGCTTTCCATCTCCAAAGATCTTCCAGAAATCCTCATATGGTAGGGCAGTGTAAGAAGCAGCCTTGAGTTCGAGCAGGTGGTTCTGGGTGGGGTTCAAGTCGACAGCATGAACACGGGCAGGGCTCTGAAGGAGATACGATAGAATGTTGTCACCAGCAGAAGTAATGGCCAGGACCTTGTCGTCAGCACCGAGCTTCAAGAGTCGCTCATCCACACGAGTGTCCTCCCAAGTGAAAGCGTAGATGTACTCGTCCTTGAACTGAGTATGCTTGGGGAGCTGCTCGTCGTAATAGATGCGCCAATGGTGGTTCTGGTAGAAGAACGAGGGGAGAGGAAGGTTGGAAGACAGATTCTGAACCGCAGTGAGGAACGCCTTAGATCGAATCTCAGGAGCAGACCTTTCAATGGCTCGAGTCAGGGCATCTCCGTGGTTGGCGGGGTATAGGTAAGGAGACTCTGTAACCAGGGCGTCAATACGTTCAACAATCTCATGGGGAAGACTGGACGATGAGAAAGGCTTCTTGTGGCATCCGAGCCAGATGTAGTAGGGGATAGCTCCGAGGCCCTTGTTGCGAGTGTTCACGTTGAGAACAGTACCAAACTTGTACTCGAGGTAATCTCGGCGACTGGGCTCAAGACCAACCCGGTCAAGATCGAACCAAGAGCGCCAAAAGCTTCGGGACAAGAAGTTGACGTGACGGTCGACAAGACCACCAGTGTAGTTTCGGAAGGCAAAGTCAACCTGGTTCTGGACATAGAAGTCAACTACTCCCAAGATGCCTTGGGGTGAGAGAAGAGAAATCACAGAGTCAATGACTGAATAGTAGTCGGGCTATTGCCGGATGTCAGCGTGGGACCCCGGTATCAAACACTGTAACTTACAATCATGGACAAGCTGTAAGACATGGTGATCAAATCCGCTCCACCAAAGTCGGGGCGAGGCTTGTCAAAATAGCTCAGAGCAGGGGAACGAGGAGGAATGGACTTTGAAGGCATTCCGGATTCGTAGTCCTCAAGACGGAACTTGCGAGCGTCCTCACAGACAACCTTGACATTCTTCCAGCCAAGGCGTTCAAATCGCTTTCGTGCCACTTCACAGAGAGAAGGGGAGAAGTCGACGAGATATACGCTCGAGAAGAAGGTAGGGACATCGACGAATGCGCCCATGGCTTCAATGTTGAATCCAGTGCCGCCGCCAATCTGTATAACACATCAGTCATTTGTTGCAACAACATGGTTGTCACAGCAGCTCACATCAACCCAGATTCGCTTGTTCTTGTTGCCATTCTTGGGCGCATCGGCCGTCAGTTTTGCCTGGATCTGCGCGGCAACAAGGGCCAGCATGTCCTCACGTCCACGAAGGAGGACTTTTCGGGTAGCATCATAAGCCCCGGCTTGCTTCTTGTAGAAGCTTTCAAGGGCATCTTGTTGATTGCCCTTTTTGCCGCCCTGGTGGGGTTTGATGAAGGAAGAGTAGAAGAAAAGGAAAAAGGATTTGATCAGGCCTGGGCTTTCGTCCTGACTCTTAATGGAAAAGATTGAGGTGAGGCAGAGCGTGCTAAGAGCAGTAGCAACGATGCCGGCCAGAAGAGATTGAGCGTTAGCCAAGGACAACATGTTACCACCCTAGCATGTTGATTAGTAGGCATTGGGGTTGGGGACATGATACAGGCTTACATGAGAAGCCATGATACTCTCTCATTGTATGGTGAGAGAACGAGTGTTGAAAAAAGGGAGCTATTGAAGCAGTGTTGAAAGCTGTTCACACGATCAAGTTGAAGACAGATGAAAAACCGAGCAACAAGAACACGGCGAGCCAGGGATATATAGGTCGAGGCACGCGAGTTGACAACCAAGGAGACCTGGCTCGAAACCAATTCGGGTACAATGTCTCGGTACAGCGGCCATTGTACGTAGTCGGCAGCTCTGACGCCTCGCACACGATGTGCTCAACGCGAATCTACTTGCTCATGTGTATGGAGGTCCCTGTTGATCTGCTCAACCCCACCAGATAGCCATGATAACCCCGCCGCCAGGGCTCACTCTAGGCATGAGCTATAAGATGGATGATGGAGGTGGGAGCCAATAGCTGAAGCACATGTTCAGAGTTGATCGAGTTTCCAGGGTCTTGCAAGGCTGCGGCGGCGGCAAACATGTGCCATCCTTCGTTCGCTATGAGTAGTTACTCTTGGTCGTGGCGTGTGAGTGGGGTTTATAGTTAGCAAGCGGTTTCAACTGAGTATAGTTGACGATCATGGGCTTGAAGAGCCGAGGGTAACGAGGCTTCTCGAGGATGGGCTGTAGTGATGACAGAGGTTGAGTCTCACAATGAACAGGACATTGCTGTATTGACTCTTCACTCGAAGAGCAAATATCTTCAAATCATAGGCGAATATGAACAGAGAAGCAGAAGTGACGTGAACTTTTGCTTGCAATGATTAGACGTGCCTGGTGTTTTCGTATTAGTCGGGTCGTTCCAAAAGGGAATCGCAACGACCAATCAGACGATGGTAGCCAACCACATGTGGCCGTCAACACTGACGTACGGATAAATGAGAGAACGCAGGCAATTGGAATGAGATTCAAGAGCTTTTGTGTTGCAATGAAGAAAATCTGATTGAACTGTGCGGGAGTTATCGGCTGGTAATGGCCACGTCGCTGGATCTGAGTAAGAACAAGAATCCATGGTTCTGGGGAGTAATTAATGACAATAATTCCGAATTATGATGCTCTCGTTCGAACTCATTTCCATTTGTTCATTGAACATGAATGATTTGTTAACAGATGATGCTGATGCTTCCAGTGTTGGTGTTTATCGACAGTGACAAAAGCACTGTTAATTTGTTTTCCAAAGACCAAGTTTTGAGTGAAGTTGAGGGCTTTCTTCTGGTCTGTCGCGAGTAAGAAGAACTATCGAAGAACGTGCAACTCCATTGCACCTATAGAAAGGTTGCACTGCGAGTCATTACATGTTTTGTGCATGATTGATCTAGTCCAGGACAAATAACGCGATCTTGGTCGTCAAAGTAAATTGCTGGCAAAAATGCAGTTGACTTGGTTTATCAACCCCCCGAAACACTTGGTGGCTTTGAGGCCTGAGTCTAGGTAGGGAGTATTTGTATGTGTAGGACTTTTATCCTATGGATGACAAAAAGACTTGGGTAAAGTCAGTATAACTTTATGCCTATAGATAAGTTGATTTTGACACCTTGATTTGAAATTAGTGATACTGCCTTTCGCTGCTGACTTTGGATAAGCCAAATCAACGGGCTTCCTTGAAGATTACTGGTATGTATATGAAGTCGGATTGCCGTGGCTCGGCTCTCGTATCAATTATGGTTTTTCATAACTGTTTGACTACAAAGAGACTCGCTATCCATGTAAGTGTCAATGAGTTGTAGCGTCGATGAATAGGGCTTTGCATCCAGAATTGAAATCTAAGGATCCGGAGAAAAGTCACTAGCGACAGTGACTTGTGCTGATACCAGAGACTCACGATTGAAGATGATGGCATTCAATTGTTCGCTTCTGATTGCTCTTGAAAGGAACGGAATTAAACATATTCCGTGCCTGCTCTTCAAGTGCAAGGGTCTCATCCGGGGCATCTGTTTCCCCTCAGCTGAGAACATCAAGGGGTAGGTACGTACCGACGCCCAACCTGTACCGTGACGCACTTTAATAGGATCGCGTGCTTTAGAGCCGTGTCGTTACAGTCTGTTATTGTTCCCTTGTCGCAATAATCATCAAAATCCTCCACTCAACCTTCGATCTTATCTGATAGACCACGCGCAACTAAACCTCCAATCAAGCGCATACTAACCACGCTCATTTATACTCTCAAACACCCGCGGTCATGCCTCCAGGGGCGAGTCAGAAGGGAACGGGCAAGAAGAACTCGGTCATACCAAAGCAGAGCCGCAACACCACGCCTGCTCCAGTCGCGACAGCCAGTCTACCACCACAGGAGTTCTACGATCCAGACTATCTTAACACGAGAGTCATTCTTTTTCGCAATCTTACCTACGATGATATCGTCGATCAATCCGCCTCAAATGCGACCATTCCAGATTCAAAGAGCCTTGATGGCATGATTGAACGACTTAAAAGCTTATCCAATATTATGGAAAAACGCTCGACATTTTACGATCGTGGGATGAGGCACTTGGCAGATGAGCGTAAGAAGCGGCCATCCGAAGATTATAGCAATCGCGACAATGAACAAGAAGGAAAACGGCCCAAACATAAAAGAAAGAAGCCCGATTCACTTGCGCCGCAGGAAGGCAATGTCGGTATGTATTTTCATGATATATGTGTTTAGCCTGAGGCAGCCGTCTAGCCACAGAGTTTGTCAGTTGCTGGCACTGGCAATTAATTACCTAAACATGGGGTTCCGAACTGACTTCCTATAGAACGTTCGTCACCAATGCGAGACTCGAAAAACCGTAAACACGACCGCGATCCAAGTTCGCCCTTGTCACCTACACATGCTGGCTCACCATCGGCCATGGATGTTGACAAGAAGGCCAAGACCGAAGAGAAAGAAGGAGAGGAAGACGAATCAAGCTCTGAAGACGAGGGTGCGCCTCCTCGTCGCGAACAACCCCAAGCTATGACATTCGGCGAAGATCCGTCCACCTTCCCCGACCCCACCATCTACGAAATCCGAGCGACCTATCCTGGAATGCCCGATGAAGAACGCAAAGAGATCTACTCAGTTGCGACATATCCGCCATCAGATCTCGCCGACCTTATTGCTGGCGATCCTCCCGACAAGGATTTTAGCAATGCAAAGCCCAACAGTCAGATCAACTTCTCTACGTTTTCGACGTACGTGGAGCCGTTCTTCAGACCATTTTCCGAAGAGGACCTAGCCTTTCTACGAGAACGAGGGGACCGTGTGACACCATTTGTTATGCCGAAGCGTGGCAAGAGACATTATACCGAAATATGGGCTGAGGAGGACGGCGCAATGTCGATCGATACACCACAACAAGGGCGAGACAAACTCCCTCCGAACCAGCCACGAGGAAGCATAGACAATATGGACGACGATGTCGGAGAGACAGACAAACTTTCAGTAGGCCCTTGGTTGACCCGTTTAATGCAAACTCTTCGGCCTGAGGCCCGCGCGCAATCCGCAGACGACAAGCCGACGACAAACGGAACCACCAATGGAGATATTAGCATGAACGGTGACGCAGACGTCGAAGACAAACCTGCATCCTCAGATGACAAACCGAACCAGCAGCCGGCAGCTTTTATGCCCGAATCGTCAACGGAGGCCTGGAAGAAAGCTTCTCATCCAAAACTGGAATATTCGCAGGTTGATGAACGCATTAAGCAGGAACTCCGACACATTGGATTCCTTCCTCTTGATGGATTCGAAGCAGAGTACGATGGCCATTTTGATGACGAGGTCGCAGCAAGACTGAGACTTTTGCAAAACCGCCTCAAGGAGCAGATGCTGATCAACGGTGCGCGCAAGGCTCGTCTCACGGACCTTGTACGAGAACGTATGGCGTACCAGGAATATCAGACCATCCTCGAGGATCTTGACGGCCAAGTGCAAGCTGCATACCTGAAGCGCACACGCACAATGGGCAAGAGCAAGAAGACAAAGCGTCCTGGAGGTGCCGGTGGTGGCAGTCACTTTGTGGGCGGCGCTGCGGGTACCGCGCGTCCGGGCATTGGCGATCTTACGAAGACGCTCATGGAGCGACGAAAGCGATGGATCGATACAATAGGATCAGTGTTTGATGATGAAAGTCTACGGAAGGTTCCGAGAATTACAGATCCGGAGAGTTCGATTTTCAAGCCAGCAGACATGGGCGAACTGATGAATAAAGAAAAGGAGCAATGGGATGAGGAAGTGGAGGAGGATTAGAAATCCTATTTGGCCGAGTCCCCCTAGGTCTGGTCCCTAGGTATGATTCTTCTACTGTTATGGTAGACTTGATATTGCAAAGGCGTTGGATGGTATCTACTTGATGGAGTTCAGGCGATGAGTCAATGTTACCTAGAATCGGGATACCACTAGTCGTTGTTTACTCTCTGAATACGATGATGAAGAGACTACATTCACATTGAGGGCCCAATTGGCCTTCAAGTCAATTGTCCCCGAAACTACGGAGTACAAGCCAATTATACTCTTCTGTTGAAGTGTTATCGACTATGTATAAATATTTACACAATCAACAACTCGAGAGCCAATGATCGACTGAGAAGGGTTGAATTGAATGATGTAAAAGCCATATCAACAACGGGCGCAAGTAAGTGACCAATCGATCGGCCTCGACTTATCAATAAAGCCAACCCCAAGCAGCCCGTTATCTCAAGTTACAGTGGGGGAGGCACCGTAACTGTAGCTAGAGAGTCCAGCCCGCCCGTTGTAGGTAAAAATGTCAGGCTACTCTTGATGCGGCTATTCCGTGCCGAGATAGCTACCTTACCTTGCCTGGCTGTAACTAACCATACACCTTTGGCCCCTCTTCACACTCTCACTCTTTAGATTCTTGAGTCTCTTGATAAGTAACCAGAAAAAGAGTCTATTATCGCAAACATGCATCTGGTACCTAAAGAGGTTCGTCTTTATCCGCCAAGGCTAAGAGACCCAGTCTGCGGAGTCATGCCGTTGGTTGGAGACATTGCTTTTGCAGGGTTGTTGCAGGCAGTATGAGAATAGCACATGA